TGCTGCGACTACTACTACTACTCCTGCTGGTGCTGACCGTTCTGCAACGCGACCGCTGTACCGCCGCGGCTCAACAGCCGTGCGGCCCCCTATTGTGCTGCCGCCGAGCACAGCCGGGAAGGGTGACTGCGGGCAGCAAAACGCCGAACACCTCTCCGGCCTTCTCTCCGCGCTGACGGAGGACACTGCGCACTTCGCCGCGTCGCGTGAGAAGACGCAGGCGGATGTGCAAGAGCTGCGCGAGCAGTTACGCACCCATCAGGCGGAGACAGCACGCCTGCTGCAGGCGAACATTGGTCTCGAGATGCAGCGGGCGCAGCTGTTGGTGCAGCGCGACGCGCAGGTGGAAAAGCTGCGCGCAGGCGCCATTATGCGCCGCTCCCACGAGACAGTGCGGGACGTGGACGTGCTGCTGCTCAACGCCGAGCTCAGCCGCACGCTGGAGATGCTGCAGGAGCAGTACAAGAAGCGTTCCGCCGAGACGGAGCAGGTGCGGGAGTCTGTGCAGGACTTCAGGCGCAAGATTCAGGAGCAGGACAGGTTGCTGACGCAGGTGCGGGAGTACTGGCGCCGCAACGCGGCGGCTCTGATGCGCATGAAGAACGAAAGCAGCTGGCGCACAACGCATGCCTTGAACTCCTCCAGCGTTGCCGGGAATAGCAGCACATGGAGCGGGTACACCCCTAACGCCACGTGGCGAGCGGCGGTCAGCAGCACCGCGCGCCCACATCACATAGCACTGCAGCCGTCGTCGCCGAAGCAGCAGCAGCAGCAACCAGGACAACAGCAAGAATCGGCGAGCGGCACGGCGGTGGAGATGTGGGAACGCTACCAGCCGATCCATGCGCTCGGTCTAGTGAGGCCGGAAGAGGTGGCGGAGTTCATATACAGTGTCTTTGAAGAGATCGCAGTGGGGACGCCTGTAAGATTGTGCGTAGAGGAGTAGCCGTGATCGCGGAGTGGGGGGGTGGGGTTACTGTTGCTGTTGTCTCTCTTTGTGGGTGTGTGCGAGTGTGAGTGTGGTTACGGGTGGGCGGTGTACATGCTGCGAGTCTGTCGGAGGTGTCGACAATGTACGTTGAATGTAGAGAAACTGATTTCGTTAATGTGGCACCCTTCCTGGTGCTACCGCTGCTGCTGCTGCTGCTGTTGTTGGTGTGGTTGCTGTTGTCGTTGTGTGTGTGTGTGTGTGTGTGTGGGCGGAGAGAGGTTTCAGTCAACGGGGCCCTGCAAGCGCAGACATGGCCCCCCAGCATCTCCTTTACGCAGGCACACGGACATATATGCATAGATATATACATATACGCACACACATACGTCAGTCATGACGAGTGTGGGAGCGGGCGTGCGATGCGTGTAGAAGTGGGTTGCCCCGTATTGTGGTTAGTATTACACGATTGATTGATTGATTCTTTTTTCCGTTATTTTTCACATATATATATATATATCTTTCACGCAGGCGCACATTAAGAAGCACATAGCACACACACACACACATATATATATTAGAGGTATATATTGCCGTGGAAACGATGCGTAGAGGCGCCTCCCGCCCGTCAACGCGTGGTCCCAGCAACAGCAACGGCGGCAGCACTCCTATGAAAGGGCGGCGTGGTCGAGGCCGGCTGTTGCGCCGTGGTGTTATGCTTACTATCACCGTAGCTGTGTGTCTGGTGGTGGCTACATGGTTCTGGCCGCAGCAGAAGCAGAAGCAGCCACAAGGTGATGTACACATAGAAGATGCCGCTCTGGTTGTGGAGGGGCCGTGGGGACGCGCAACACGGCGTCCGCCCTACGCACAGCTGCAGCCTCGCACCCAACTGACACTGCAACCCACAAAGGACAGGGATGCTACTGCCGGGGATGCTCAGTCTTCTAACGTGGCGGATGTCTTGTCGTCGCTCGCAGTGCTTCTCCCGCCAACGCAGCATCACGAAGCAATCATGCGGAAGATTAACAGAGTGCTGAGTTTTGGTACACGAGTGGCCGGCTCCTTTTCGCCGGGACACCGCAAGATGTTAGAGTTCCTCGTGGCGGAGGGCCAGTGGCTACCGCCACGCGAGGCGCTCTTCAGCACGGCTGCTGTTGCGGAGTTTCCGGCGTTTTACTGGGAGCTGGAGTGGGACAACTTCACGAGTGCGACGCCGTTGGGGGAGCGGCAGTTCTCTAATGTTGTGTTTCACTTCAATGGCGGCAGCGCTTTTCGGCAGCGGAGCAAGGATAAAGCAGGAACGCGGAAAGAGAAGCTGTCGAAGCAGCGTCCTTCGTTCGCCGCTGCGGGTGGCCGCAAGCTGGCCGGAGAGCAGCTTGAACACGTTGTGCTGGCGGCGCACTGGGACAGCAAGCACTACACAGGTTTTGACTTCCTTGGTGCCTGCGACTCTGCTGTCCCTGTCGTGTACCTGCTGGAAACGATGCGGCTCATTGCGGTCCTCGCAGACACAGCCGCCGTCATGACAGCGGCAGCAGAAGCATCCAAAGCTGTGGAGAGTGGCGACGTTTGCAGACGTTTACGTGATGCGCTCTCGCCGGCGTATAGGGCAGTGCTGCGCTATCACTACGCCGACGATGCGGAGACCATCAACTGCCTTCATGGAGGATCAGCGGGAGACGGAAGAGAATGGGTACGTAATGCCTCGTCTGGCGTCCATGGCGGCGAGTGGCTGCGGCTGCTGCACCTTGTAATGCACCTCCCCGCCATCACGGTGGTGTTTTTTGATGGTGAGGAGGCGTTTGTTGAATGGCGCGGCACTGATCACACGTACGGCTCGCGGCATTTGGCACAACGGTGGAAAGCGGCGCGATCATGGTCTGCCACAGCTGCTGCGGAAGACGCGCCGTCGCGCTTCGACTTCATCGATCTCTTCGTGCTGTACGATCTCATGGGGACCCCTGGCACGCAGTTTCACAATTACTTCCCCGATCAGAGCGGTATGGCGTTCGCGCTACTCGCGGAGGTAGAGCAGTCGCACCGCGTGCGCGCGGAGCGGCTACTGCGCCTGGAGCTGCAGGCACGAGAAGAAGGACGCACCTGTACGCCACACCTGCCAGAGCTGTGGTGTCGCCACGGGCCTCCGCACGACATGTACACGCTGTACGGTCTGGCGCGTGTGTTTGGCCCGCTGCAGCACCGCACCGATCTCGCGCAATTGTGGGTCCCACCGACTCCTGGCGGAAGTAGCAGCAGCAGCAGCAACAATAACAACATTTTCTTTCCCTTCTGGCAGAAGTCAGCGCAGGGACCGACGCTGCAGGCGAGTTTTGGTGTGGAGGACGATCATATTCACTGGATGGAAACGCAGCGCGTGCTGCATGTGATTCCCCTGCCGTTCCCGCCTTCGTGGCACACCGCGCGGGACGACGGCTCTGAACTCGACGGTGGCACCATAGTGGATCTCTTTCGCGTGTTGGTGGAGTTTACCTTGCGGCTTGGCGAAGGGTGGTGGGCAAATACAGGAGCGGATAGGAGAAAACACGATATGGGGTGATGAAGGGGGGCGGCGGAGTTAAAAGGGCACCTGAAAAATCCCATGCATTTTGGCAGCATGACGTTGTGCAACACTCGTTTCGCATCAAGAGAGAAGGCTTGGAGAACGCTGTGTTGCTTTTGTTCTTTTGTTTTTGTTTTTTTGTCGATGATGTTTTTTTTCTTTTTTGTTATTGTTCGTGTTTTCGATTCTCCTGCTGCTGCTGTTATTGTTCTACGCACACTCATTACTCGCACAACATTCCTATTCACTTCCCTTCTGCGGCAATGGTGAGTGAGTTGAGTGTGCTGCCGAGTGGGCGGCGTAGGCGTGGGGGTGTTCGCGATTTGTTTGTGAGTGGAGGGGGGGGCTTCGTCGCATCTCTGCCCCCATTGCCTCAACGTGTGCTGGCTGTCACCAAGCGCAGTTGGTCTAGTGGTAGAATTCTCGCCTGCCACGCGGGAGGCCCGGGTTCGATTCCCGGACTGCGCAACCCTTTTTTTTCCCTCTCCTCTCCTCCCCTCCCCATTGGAGGATCTCCATGGAGAGATGGAGGCCCTCGTGGTGCTCTGACAGTTACGAACCACACCTTTCGCTCCTTGGCCGCCTTCGTCCTCTTGGGACATCTCGGATGTTGGTGACGGCCCCTGCCGAGCTAGGATGCCGGTGCTGCTCTCCACCAGTCATAATATATGCTAACGTCTATATATATATATATATACGTGTGATGCTGTATCTTATCTTCCCTCCCCACCACCACCCCCCCTTCTTGTGCCGCCCCCTCGTGCCGTTGAGAATGTGTGACTTGGTTAAACAGGGGAAGGTGGAAAGGAGGAAAACGCTTTAGAATATACACATAAAGAGATAAAAGAGAGATTGAGATATGCTGCGGTGCGTATCGGCTGTGCGTTTGTGCAGCTGCAGGCCCTCGTTGGCGTATGACCGTCTGGTTGGCACCGGCTCCATCACGCGCGATGAGCGACAGGTGGCCACTTTGCCGGTGTTTGATCGGCTCTACAATGACCTTGTGGCATACCTGCAGAGTAGTGGCCGTTCGCAGCCGCGGCAAGTGGAGTTGCGGCCGCCGAACCGTCTTGGTGTAGTGCCGTCTTTTTTCCTGCGCCGCGAGCAGGAAGAGAAGGTGCGTCGGGCAATGGATGAGATTGGTGGAGGCAGCGGCGACAACAACGCCGTGTATCACCCCCTATCGCGTGTGAAGGGGTTGTATGTGTATGGCGGCGTTGGCTGCGGCAAGACGATGCTGATGGATTTGCTTTACAACAATGCCCCAGCGTCCATTAAGAAGCGTCGTGTGCATTTTCATCACTTCATGCTGGATGTGCAGAGGACGTCGCATGAAATTCAGTATGTCTCAAAGGGCAGTCGTGGTCAGCAGTCGCGGCGTACGCCGGACGCGTCGGTGAACCTCTTTGATGAGGTGGCGCAGAGGCTCATCAGTGAAGTTGAGTTGCTGTGCTTTGACGAAGTAGCCGTGTCGGATGTGGCACACGCGATGATCCTGCGCCGTCTCTTTCACGCCTTCTACAAGATGGGTCTAGTCGTTGTGTTCACATCAAACCGGAAGCCGGATGATTTGTACCTAGACGGTCTCAACCGCGAGAGCTTCCTTCCGTTCATTGAACTGCTAAAGCGGCAGTGTGTGGTACATGACATGCACAGCGGCACTGACCACCGCCTAGGCGGTAGTGACGCGCAGACATATCTCTTTCCTGTCACACCGGCGAACACTGAAACGTTCAATAACACATTCCTGCAACTGTGCAAGGGCATGCCGACGGAGGAACGGGTGCTGCGCGTGTTTGGCCGTGATGTGCGTATACCGGCCGCCTGTGGTGGCATCTGCCGCTTCCACTTTTCGGAAATCTGCGGCGATGCCCTGTCGAGTGCAGACTATGAGGTGATTGCCAAGACTTTTCACACCGTATTCATCGAAGGTGTCCCGCGATTCACGTACGACAACTCAGACGTTAAAAGCCGCTTCCTCCTCGTTATCGATGCGCTTTACGAGTTCCACTGCAAGGCCGTTGTGTACGCGCAAGTGGAGCAGTTGCAACTCCAGGAGAGTAAAGAGGAGTATGACGCGGCGCATGAGCACCTCGAAGGGAACGAAGCAGCGGCTCTGCGTATTGCGAAACTCACGGATTATGAGCGTGAGATGGGTGTACGCTTGGTGTGTGAAACCGACGCGTCGTTTCAGATGGAGCGCTGCATCTCTCGGCTAATTGAGATGAGCTCCCGCGAGTACCTTGAGAGCCCGCACCGCCACGTGGATGTGACGTTGAGTACGGAGTAGCCGCATTGAGTCATTAAGAGCAGGGTGCGGATGAGCCTGCGTGGATGTGTCTGTGCATATCTGTGTAACGACAGGTGGTTTGATATTTATTTTTGTGAACAAACAAAAAATCACCATGCGACGGCTGTATTCTATCCGGCTCTCTCTCCCTCTCTCTCTCTATATATATATATGTATATGTATCTACACATACATTTTCATTTGGTCTCCCTCTCTTGAAGACTCAAACCCCGCATCCCGGGCTGCCCTCTGCGTCGGTTACGTGCAGCTGCTGGATGAATGCGTCGCGGCGCACTTCCCTTTGTGTGTCTGTCTGTGTCTGTGTGTGCGCACGCATGCATGCCCACGTCCCCTTTGCTTGCCTCTCTATATGTCTTTCTTCCTCGCGTGCGCCTCTCTCTTTCTCTCTCTCTCTGTGTGTGTGTGTGTGTGTGTATGTGTACGTACGTTTTCGTGTCTCTGCGGGCAGAGATAGAGAAAGAGAGACAACTAGCGGAGATTGGGTGTATTCAGGCGTCTGGTGTTGACGATACGCTCGTCTCTTGGCAATTGGATTTTACGAGTGAGCAACGCACAACATATTTAGCAAAAATATTTCAACAGGGAGCCGCCCCATCTACCTACCACGAGCAGAAGGAAAGCAAAGGCCAATCACAGCGCAAGGCAGTTGAGGGGATGATTATGATGACGAGAGGGCGGGAGTCGGCGTGGACGATCACCATCACCAGCGCGTACTTCTTCTGTCTCCTCCTCCCCCTCCTCCTCGGCCTCCACTGTGTTCATGGCGCCATCGCAGACAATACCGAGCAGCAGCAGCAGCAGGATCTCCCCGAGAGCCTTATCCGTGGCCCACTGCTGCACGAACATTCCTTCGCCGCGCCCATCGTCACGGACTGGTGGGAGGAGGGCGTACCGCACTTCATGATTGGCGGGTCGGCTGTGGCCAATGAAAAGTTTATTCGTCTCACAACGAACAACTTAGGCACGCACGGCTTCGCTTTCAACACGGCGCCGTGTGACCACCCGTCGTGGGAGGTGCGGATGCGTTTCTCCGTCCGTACGCCAATCCCTGTGGCGCGGAAAAGCATGCAGCAGAATCAGGGGCGGCAGCAGCAGCAAGAAGACGAGGAGGATGAGTATCAGGGCGGCGAGGGCATGGCGCTGTGGTACCTCGAGCGGCCGATCGGTGACGACCACCAGCATGTGCCCAAGTACAGCAAGCCTATTAATCCTGACGAGGCGGAGCGAGAGCAGCTGCAGCATGAGCCCGCAAATATCGCCGATGTTCTTCTTCGCCACGCTGACGTTGACGACGACGACGATGATGATGATGATGACGACGATGACGAGGATGA